ATACATGTGCATCTAGCAGGTGTGCTATGTGTAATATTCCCTACTGTAAAGACAAGAGCAAATTAAAGGAGCCTGACGCTCCTTATAGAGTCAATGGGACTATCACACAAGTTTAATAGGAAAATAAAGAGGAACATCTCATTGAGGACATCTTTGATAAAGGTTCTTACAGAAATAATATATTTCCAGGTCACATTTCTCAATCCAGGTTAGAAAAGGCTGGTTGTGTGTTAGCAGTCGTTTTGTTCTGGGAAAAATTACCAAGGGTTAGATGCTTGGCACTGTGACCAATTTTATGGCAGGAGTTTGGAGTCCTGCATTTAGCATCTAAAAGTTAAACATGATCTTGTATGCTCTGGGTATGGATAAAGTATGACATTATAGTGGCAACCATAATATTAGTTCATTTTATATCTACATTTAATCTTTCTTTATAGTTGCAAAGATCTGACATTGATGAAGTCAACTTTCACAGAAAACCAGAGCCCTTAACAGAAAGGGTGCAGTTGGTAATTGTGTTAATCAAGAACTTTCATTTCTAGAAACATTATGCTAGTTCATGTCAGAACTCATTTGGAGTTAAGTATCCCTAGATTTAACATGCACCTAGTTGTGTAGCGTGGGATTATCCTTCCCTTGAGGCATTTTGAATATTCCTGAAAGATCTATGTGAAAGAAGGAGACAAACCTGAGATGAACAGAGGAAACTTATTTCCACATTTGCAGGCAGTTGTAGGCACTGATCTCAGTTAATTGTCATCCAATCCTATGAGATAGACTGCATTTGGAAGATGTGGGAAGTAAGGTACAGAAAAGAGAAACAATTTGCCCCTGAGGTCACCTGGTCTAGTATAGCCTGAACTGAAAACATCTGCCTAACTCTGAAAACAGCTTTTCTCACTACAAATACTGTTTGCACTAACTTCAAAGACATTTCTATAGGATGACGGGAATTTAAGACTTAGAAGGAGATGGTAACATTCTTTTAGATTCACGTCCGCTGAAGAAGTGGCGGATGTTTCATATACTATAGATCTGATCAATCGTAAATGTGAAAATATTTTAATATTTGTATGTGAGGATTTGACTCCAAACTCCTGCCATAAACTTGGTCACAGTGCCAAGCATCTAACCCTTGGTAATTTTTCCCAGAACAAAATGAGACAGCATTAGATGAGAGGTAAAGTGATCCAAGGATGTGCATAGCTAGGGAATGCTGAGTACCAAACGTTCTCCACTTCCAGGGACTGCTCACACTTATTCTCCTTTTCAACATAAAGCTGGTTACTACATGCTACCGATGCAGCTAAGGACATTTCAATAATAATAAACACTCTGATGTCAAATTTGAATGGACACATTTTCTTTGTTAGCAAGAGAAATTGCTGCAGAATTGCAAATCTTTGCAAAAAGACCACTGCATACTCATGTGAATGAACAAGCAACTGAAGTCATTTAAAAAAATGTCCAGTTGCTGCACAGCAGTGAACAGACACACCACCCAAGGACCAATTTATGACTCGAAGGAAAAATTATACTCTTTAAAGCATCCTGTTTGGTGGCAGTCATGATCATTAGTGAAAGCAATATATATTTAAAAGCATAAAATGGCTATTTCCAAACAGAATGACATGGTATGCAAAGGAGGCATCATCCCATTCAAACATCCTCAGGCTCTCCAGAAAATCATTATGGTCTGTCATGTTTAACTCACTTCCTTCTTTGTTTATCCTCTTTTTCTTCTTCTTCCTTGCTGAAGATTATCTTCTAAAATCAAATTCAGTGCTAATAGTAAATTTGCACAATAGTCACTTCAGAAAAGCAAAACAATCAGACTCAAGAGATTCTATAAAAGTAGTATTTCTTATACTAAAGTCTGAGAGTCTAAATGGAATTATGAGAGAGTTCCAAGAGGGCTGTAGTGCCTAAAGCAGCCATCCAGGTAATTATTCTTAGGAGCCATCAACAAAGAGTAAAACAACATAATTTTAAAAGAGTACCCTTCTCATCTGTGCTTCATCTCTCTTCTCAAATCCTTTCCCTCCATCTCTGAGATCTCTACTCCTACTTTTAATAACAGTAATAAATGTATCAAGATGGTACATAACTATTAGATCTCCCTTACCTTTGGGAGCACAAAAAAAAAAAAACACACAAAAAGGCATAAGACACATGGGAAATTTCAGAGTCTGACCAGACATGGTAATTATTATTATCCAATGGATATTAAAGTAAATATCATAGATTATTTATTTTGGGATTGAGTTTTCAAAAAGAGTAGATTCTTCCAATAAGATTTAATGTATTGGTTTCTAAATATTGTAAATTATAGATAGCTTCTGGACCATATAACTATATTAAATAAGCTTCTGCTATAACATGCTTGGTACTTAAGGTAGGCCTTATTCATATGTCCCAAAGCTAAGGATTCAGTTTCATTAAGTTGGTCTTCTCGTTCTGTTTAGAATATGAATTATTCCTTGTTCTTCTTTAAGATAAACCAAATTAAGATACTTAAGTTCTTGGCAACAAAGAAGACACAGTACTTTTGAAATCTACTTTCTCATCTATAGGACTCCTTGACCATTCAAGCTAAATTATAAAGAAGTATCTTGAAATATACTTTTTGAACAAATAGAATAAGAAAATACCTAAGAAATAATTATCCAGTTAATATAGTATCTCTCTATCTTCTCAGTTCCTATCCTGGGGCTGTAAATAGGCTGGGTCTAGCAGCTCTTGTTTGACACTGAAAATGATGATATTAAAATCAGCCAGGGGGAGAGAGAATTACTAAAAGCTCAAACCTCATCTGAATGCAATGTAGCAAATCCTTACCTGTACACCACAGCTCTAAAAAAAAAAAAAAAAAAAAAATTTGGTGGCTCAGTCTGCAATCCCAGCACTTTGGGAGGCTGAGGCGAGGGGATTACCTGAGCCTGCAGGTTTGAGACCAGCCCGAGCAAATCGGCCAGTCCTCGTCTCTACAATAAATAAAAATTAAAAAATTAGTCAGGTGTGGTAGCATGCACCTGTAGTTCTGGCTACTTGGAAAGCTGAGGCAGAAGAACCGCAGGAGCCCAGCAGGTCGACACTGTGGTGGCCATAAGCATGCACTGCACTCCAGCCTGGATGACAGAGTGAGATTACAACTCAAAAAAAAAAAAAACAACAAGTAAAAATAAAATCAACCAGGTCTGCCTCATTTATAAATATGATGAGTCTTGGAAAAAGAGTGATTCATTTTAAAAACTGTTTCATTAAACTGGAAATGTTTGAGGGTATGTAGAAACACGGGGTGCTGAGGTCAAGGCAAGGAAGGGGGAAGGGAACCCAGATTGAGGCAAACATTCATCAACAAAGATCTTACCTGTGTTAATACTCTAAGAAACAAAGTAAAGCAATTCTCAGGTGTCTGACTAAAGCATATTGTATTTAACCCAAAGAGTGAAGAACCACAAATATTTGATCTTAAGGATACCAGGGATATAATTAACAGAACACTATGGCCCCAAAAGATTAGGAGACGTGCCTAAGATTACATTACAAGCTGGAAGATGACCAAAATGTAAACATTGACTCTCTTGATTCTATGATCATTGTCCCTTCTACCACAAATGAAGACACTTCTGTATTATGTTTGAGTTCATTCAAGTCAAGGAAGAATAAACTGTGTTACAAGGTACCTGCAAACAGTTTCTACCTACAGGTAGTCTACTCTCCGGTATAAGAGAAAAAAAATAAGGCTTGCAATTACAGTACAGAGTGATAAGAGCTACGATAGAAAAAGTACTTAATTTTGTCCACGCAACAGACTTGTGGGTTCAGTGGAGGCTGCTCAACTGATCCTTGAAGGATAAGTCGGGATTGCATAGGGGCGAGAGAAAGGAGGACAGCTGTTCCACATGGAGGAAATAGCTGATATGCAATATCAGAGGCAAAAGAGAACTGGCATGTTTGAGGCAGTGAAAGGAATTCAGTGTGGCTGGGACATTGAGTGCTTGTGGGGATGCGATGAGAGACGCGGCAGGAAAAGTTAACAGGGCTTACTAAATTCTGAAGGGTTTTATGCCTTGTTTAGGAATTTATGTTGGGGTAATGGGAAGACAAAGAATTTTAAAACAGGAAAGGGAAATAATTGGATCTGCCTTTTAGAAAGTACATTCTGACTGCTGAGTGGAAAAATGGGAGGCAGGGGTAAGTATAGATGGAATCCAGGCAGTTAGCAGGCTGCTGCAGCAATCAGAAAGTAGAGGACAGTCATCTAGTAGAGTATGGGGGAGTAGGGATGGTGGAGAGAAGTAGTTCAATTTGAGGTATTCGGACAGGAGAATTAAAGTATGTGATGATAAATGGATATAAATGTGTGTGAGTCATTAGGAAAGGGAAGAGTAAAAAAAATTATTCTGAAACATCTGGACACAGTCTTGTCCAAAAGTCTTCTGACATGGGAGATAAGAGCATTCATTGTCTCTTAGTTAAACACTTAAGGATCATTTTGCTGACAATAGAAACTCAAGACAATTCTGTATTTGCTTATCACCAGACTGAATTCTATAGGAAATCCTCTTCAAACTGTTGTAAACTTGTTGTGCTCCATTGAGGCAGTCATAAATCCCTAGTGAGATTTTCCCGAAGAAAAAACAACCTGCCTAAAAGTACTCTCAACTTCAAGACCCTCTCAGATTCTCCACATTCCCTGGTGAATTCCAGTATAGGAGAAGGTAATAGGTTCAAGTGTCCTAGGCCGTCTCTGCTCAGGAAGCAATAGTGGTGGTCTCTTCTATTTTCTAGTAGAAACGGATTAATCCAAAGGAGGCAGAATTAGGGTCGTTGAATAAAAGCAATTTAAACTCAGGGAGACAGATTTACTAACTCCATGTGGATCATCTCAAGGGTCCTAAAATTTTGTAGCTCAAACTGAAGAAATGAAATGTAGTATGTACTTTTGGGCTGTAGTATGTCCCAATCCCAACCTAGGACATAATTCAGATACTCACCCCTTCGCCGCCATTTTCACCTGTGTTGGCAAGCATTTCCTGCAGGGCTCTGACAGAGAGGGACTGTTCCAGCACAAAATTGCAGACACAGAGATCTGGAGGAATATACTGTGGAAATAAAACCAGAATGAGGATACCTACTCACATCAGTCAGAGATCAATCATGCAATAACATTTCAAGGGCAAAGAGTATGAATTCAAATGACAGTTGTGTGGATGAACAGGAATGCAAAAAGGTGACTTCTCTTATTCAAGTCAAGATGGGCTTTAAGCTGGATTCTAAAGGATGAGAAGAAGAAAAGCCTCAAATCTCAAGAGAACAGTGACCAAGATGTCAGGATCAACTTGAGGTACATATGAGAGAGCACATACGTAGCCCTCCTAAAGAAGGGACAGAAAAGGAAGGCTGATCTACACTCATGTCTGGTTGTGAAGGAAGAAAGCCACTGGGATCTCACCCATAATCATCTGTAAGAGGGCAGTAGACAGACCAGAATGTGGCTCTAGACAATGGTGACCAAAATAGACAATCCAATTATTTAAGAAAACCTGGGTATCAGTATAAAAAAGAGGCAACAGTGGAGGTTAAAAACTATATAAACATGGTTTAAACAAAGAAATGTCTAGATCTTTAAAGAATTGATGACCCCATAACAATCATTCTAATTTATTACAATCAGTTAACAGTGACCAGTTGACGTTATGATATCCATTCCTGTTCCAGAACATTTCTCAACAGCTAAAGATAGTTTTCTATGCATACTGTCCAACAAATAATAGCTAATACTCACTAGACACTTTCTCTGTGCCAGGCACTGTTTTAAGTACTTTGCATGTGTTAACTCATTTAATCCACACAACCACTTTATAGCATGGTGCTATTAATATTCCAGTTTCTAGCCAAGGAAACCAAAGCACGGAGAAGTTAGGTCACCTGCCCAAGTGTTATACTAACTGAGTCAAATTCAAATTCAGACAGTCTGTCTCTAAAGACTATGCACTGAACCCTATACGGTTCCTGCTTCTAATTAAAATATTAAGGATTTTTTTTCACAACTAGAACATTTTAGATCAGCAAATATTCAAGTACTACATTTATGTAAAATGCAGTGATTGTGACTGAAAAAGACATAAAGAAATACAAAATAAAATCATTGCTCTTCAGGAGCTTACAATCCAGTTTCACAATATACCATCTCCCTTGGGAATACAGCCTGTGATCACTTTGTGTACCAGTCTACTGTTTCCTACATGATACTGGCAGAACATCGACATCCTGAGAATGAGGAATGAGAGCCATTCCTTAACTCACTGACAGTCATGCTTAACATTTCAAGACAGGTAAACCTGTTTCCATGGAGCCCCAAATTAAAAGTTAAAGCAAATCTGCAAATAAAACTCAGATAACCTCTCTGATTTCAGCATTTTCATTTTTAAAATAAAGAAAATGGAACTGGCCTTCTCTAAGTTCCCTTTAACTTCTGAGTGTTTGTTTCTTGTTTATCCCCTCCCAACCTCAATGTTCTCAAAAATAAGATGATTGACTTGCTAGACCTGCCTATGATTTTCCTTTATTAAAGTTTTAAGACTCTCTAAGCCAGGAATGGGTAATCCCATCCCAAAGGCAGTAGCTTTACATTTTCAAGTATCTACTTTTCTACTATGTACTTTTCTACTGAGGATTTCAGTGAGTTCTTTTCTACTTAGATACTTTTTTTACTCAAGGTTTCTAAGGCCAGGAACCCTAAAAACCTGGTCTTCTTAAAATTCTGGCAATATAGGAATCCTCCCATTCTTTTTACTAAAAACAATTAACCAAGAAGAGACTGTAACACAAAGAGTACAGCCTTTATTTTGATTGTTTTTCTCTTTGTTTTCAAAGTCTGTTCCCAAAGCAGGTAATTAACTCATTTGTATGGGACTTGAACAAGCAGACAGCTGGTAATACAGGGCAGAGCTTCATGTCCAGGAAGTGTTTTCAGAATGCATACAGCATCATTACAAGTACCATACAATTATATGATGAAGCATTTCCCTAAAGACCTTATGCCATGAACATATATAGCCCAGCACAGTATCCTACAATGCGATGCCATCTCAGGAGATTTTACTGAGATTTTTATACACCTCTTAGCTTACCTGGATTTCATGTCCCCAGAATAGGATTCATAAAAGCCAAGGTTTGCTTGTTTCCTCCTCTTCTGCTTTTTTAAAAGGTGTATTTGGAGATTTTCCACTCAGGATTATCTGCAGTTACAGTTGGTCCTTTAAAGGCTGTTTTTTGGCAAATTAATTGAATGCTCTCAACATTCATGCCCACTTTTGCAATATACCTATTTAGTCCATTCTCTTTAAGACAGAAACCTTCACAGCTGCAAGTGCTAGAGATCCTGCCCTTACATGAGACTGTGTGATTCTAAGTCAGCTTTCTTTCCTTTCTGTATCTGGTTTGCTTGGACAGGAGACAGGAGCTCTCCTTGTCTCTGCCATCATCCATTCCGATATAAGATGACTGATAGATAACACAGACACCTCTCCAGGTATTGAAAGACCCCAGGTGGTCATGATTTCATAACAGATATGAAAGGGTGTGTTTAAGCAGGAAGAGTGTGCACGGGGAGGAAGCCTCTCAAATGGGAGCCCTGTACCTGCCACTGGTTACATAGTTTCTTTACAGTTCAGTTTAGCACAGCCCGGACTCTCTATATTTGGGAATAAGGTCATGCCACTCCAAAAGCACACAAGACAACATGTGGGCAGTGGTAAGGGAGGGAACGGGACAACCAGAATGGCTGCAGAAAACAAAATGCAACTAGCAACTTGTGACATGAATGGAGCGCAGAGCACAGAGCCATCTGACGTGCTATGCCAGCTGCCATCCTTAATTAAACTCCAAACTGGCCAGAGCTCCCACCTCCACACTCCTGAAGAATGAGCAAAGGCCACTGGTCCATCAAAGCTAATTTGTTTGCAGCCGTGAGACTCTCCCAGGAGGCCAGCTCATTGTCTCTGTGCTATGGAGCTTGTGCCTCAGTCACTCTGCCTGGCAGGCATGGGGCAAGTGTTTGATGATTCTCAGCACGGAGAGAAGGGCTCTGTTGACATCTGTTCTGAAATAGCTCCTCATCATTTTCCCCAGACCTGTCCTGAGCCCAGAGAAGCACTACATTTCCAAGTGCCCTACAGAAAACCTTGAGATGCCAGGGCTCTGGGTAAGCCAGGCACTAATATTTATTTAGCCCCACTACATGGAAAATTATGGGAGGGAAAGCCTATGTATCCTCCATGTCTGTAAATCTGCATAATGGCATATTTTTCTGGGGCTTACTGAGTCCAGGATGGTAGGAATCTGCAGTCCCTATTATTGTAGTCACTTAGCATTCCTCTAACAGGCAACCCACAATCAGCACTCAGCACTGCGCTAGTGTATACTAGCCAAGTCCTTAGGGAAATGAGTTGGGGAGCTAGTTACAAGGAGGAAGACTGTCACCTCTCCATTACACTGCTAACTGCAATCTGTTTTGACTTATGTCGTTTCTGATGCATTGAAGACTTTCTATTTCACTAGATTGTGGATCCCTTAAGAAATCTTTTTCAGCCGGGCTTGGTGGCTCAGCCCGTAATCCCACGCCTTTGAGAGGCTGAGGTGAGTGGATTGCCAGAGCCCGTGGGTGCAAGGCCCGCCTGGGCAGGCGAGACCTCATCTCTACAATAAATCAAAAAATCAGCAGAGCGTGGTAGTGCGCGCCTGTAATTCCGGCTACTCAGAAGGCTAAGGCGGAAGGATCGCCGGAGTCCAGCAGGTCGAGGCTGCGGTGGCCGGGAGTGGCCACTGCACTCCAGTCTGGGCGACAGAGTGAGACTCCAACTCAAAAAAAAAAAAAAAAGAAATCTTTTTCTACTTCTTGGTGTCCCCAGTACCCACTCAAGTCTTCTTGAACATACTCGGTGTACTCTAAGACTATTCAGGATTATGTCACTGATGATGTCTGTGGCTATAGACAAATTGTACTGAGTACTCTCCAGCCTGGTTGAACCCCTTCCTCAAGTCTTCTGTTTATTCCTCAAAAGGGCTTTTTTCTCCCAGTGTCATGAACTCTTTTCATTTCTCTGTTAATCCCTCTGGTTCACACATAGCTGTGACTCAGTGAAACACCTTGTAGGTGTATTGATGGCCCTGAAGGCAACATGAAGTATATTGGTGAAGAGTAAACACTCCAGTGTAAGAATACCTGAAGTCAAATCTCTGATTAACCACTCACTAGCTGAATTTTGTTAGGCAGGTAACGTAGTTTCTCTGTGCCTTTGTTTTTTTATCTGTATAATAGAGATATCATAGTACCTACTTTCCGAATAAACTAAGTTTTATGCTTAAAGAGTTTAAAATGGGATCTGTTGTACTGTAAATACTTTAAAAATGCCAAACAATATCCAACAAAGAGCAGTGAAATCAGAACATCAATAACTCACTTGTACATTCACTTAGATATCTAATATTTTTGAAGTTCCTATTTTGTGTAAGAATAAAGCAAAGTCCCTACCCTTCAGGATTGTGTAATAAAGTGGGACGTCAGAGAAACAAATGAACAATTTCCAAAGTTTGAGACAAAGGGCCAGAGGGTAAGATGGTATGTGCAGAAACGCACATAAGATGGGGAGAGACTGGTATGGGGAGAGAGGGAGTGTAGCAAGCATAGGGAGGTGAGAAGTGAGGCTGAGGAAAAGTGGGCATTAGACTGAGAAGGGTCTTGAGCTTTCTTGCCGAGAAGTTTAGACTTTACTTTTAGAGCAATGAGGTGCCATTAAAAAAGTTATGTAGAAAGTGATATAATCCAATTTGCATCTTTGAAAGATCAGTGCAGGTTCAGTGTTAAGAGGGCCCAAATGATTGTTGACAAAGGTGTCAAGAACATACATTGGGGAAAGAACAGTCACTTCAATAAATGCTGCTGGGAAAACTGAATATCCATATGCAGAACAATAAAACTAGATCCCTACCTCTCATGATATACAAAAATCAACTCAAAATGGGTTAAAGACTTAAATGTAAGACATGAAATTATAAAACTACTAGAATAATACAGGAAAGCTCTTCAGGGGGTTGGTCTGGATCAAGATTTTATAGATAAGGAAGATTTAAAAAATACAGGCAGCAAAGCAAAAGTAGACTAATAGGATTATATCAAACAGCAAAGAAAACAATCAACAAACTAAAGAGACAATCTGCAGAATTAGAGAAAATATTGGCAAACTATTCATTTGACAAGGGATTAATAACCAGAATATACAAGAAACTCAAACAGCAAGAAAAAATAAACAATCTTTTTTTTTAATGGGCAGATTATCTGAATACACATCTCACAAAAAAGACATACAAATGGGAAACAAGTATATATAACAATGCTCAACATCACTAATAAGGGAAATGCAAATCAAAACCATAATAAGATATCATCTCACTCCAGTTAGAATGGCTATTATCAAAATAACAAAACAATGACAAAAGTTGGCAAGGATGCAGGGAAAAGAGAACTCATACGCTGTTGGTGAGAATGTAAATTAGTACAGCCATTATGAAAAACAGTTTGGAAGTTCCACAAAAAATCTAAAAATAGTATTACCATAGGATCCAGCAATTCTACTACTGAATATATAACCAAGGAAAAGGAAATCAGTATGTTGAAGAGATAACTGCACTCTTATGTTTATTGCAGCACTATTCACAATAGCCAAGATATGGAAATAATGTAAGAATCTATCAGTAGACGAATGGCTAAATAAAATGTGGTGTGTGTGTGTGCGTGTGTGTGTAACAGAATACTATTCAGTCATAAAAAGGAATGAAATTCTGTCATTTGTGGCAGTAAGGATGAATCTGCAGGAGAGTATATTAAGTGAAATAAGCCAGGCACAGAAAGATAGATACCACAAGTTCTCTATTATATATAGGAGCTAAAGAAGTTGATCTCATAGAAGTAGAGTGAAAAATAGTAGTTACTAGAGGTTGGGAAAGGGGGAGGATAGGGAAAGATTTGTTAGTGGAAGATACAAAATTGCACCTAGTCAGGAAGAATAAGTTCTAGTGTTCTACAGCAGTGTAGGGTGACTATAGTTAACAATAATTTTTTTTTTTTTTTTGAGTTGGAGTCTCACTCTGTCGCCCAGACTGGAGTACAGTGGCCGCTCCCGGCCACCACGGCCTCGACCTGCTGGGCTCCGGCAATCCTTCCCCCTCAGCCTTCCGAGTAGCCGGAATTACAGGCGCGCGCTACCAC